TTACTTTCCAACGTCTTTACTAGAAAAGCACACATTCTTTTAGATCCCCAGGAATATGTCAGAGTTTTGTACAAAGCTTCTTATCATTGGCTACATTCCCAGGATTTCCTTTTAAAATCTTATCCAGCTCTTGTTTGGTCCAATTGAAATTTCAGCCTTAGGTAATTGAGACTTTGCCAGCAGTTTTCTATTTCTTGAATAGTGCTCTTGGTGTTTCCCCCTGATGAATTTAGCAGAGTAAAATCAAATAGCCACCAAACAGTGAGAATAGCTGTTTCCCAGGAGTACAAGTTCAAACAAATGATTGACTCTGCTCTGGGGATGGTGCTTTGATCAGAGCTCCAAAAAAGGTTATATCACTCCATTTTCTGCAATGGAGTTGGTTTTTGACCCTAGAGTCATTGGGCTGGCAAAAGAGAAGGAATTGAATGGCCCAAAATTCATGTTTCTAATTCCAATGCCTTAAATAAGTCTAGTAGTTTTTGTAGAGAGACATGTTTCAGTTTGTTCTGTAACTTGGTTATTTTTTACAGTTTTGAAATACTTGATATAAAATTGCTAATTTTAGTTGTTTTGTTCATATATCCATGTTTTATGGGGAAAGTGAGGTCATCAAGATTCTCACTCTACTGTTCCAACAGTTCATTTTCCAATTGATGTATTACAAGTTTTGTTTTATCCTTAGATTTTGAAAGATTTCTAGAGATGTTTAAATTTTCTTTTTTTTTTCCTTTTTTCTCCCACTCAGAACACTATTGTCCCTTTCAAACTGAAAACTCAAGTATATATTCAGCTTTGAATTTTTTTCTTGTATTTGTCCTACTTCTTTCCTATATTTACTCCTTCCCAGTTATCTTTTAAGGAGTTTTGGTGGTACACTGGTTAAGTGCTCAGCTACCAACCCAAAGATTGGCAGTTCAAACCCATCCAGCAGGTTCACAGAAGAAAAACCTGGTGATTTGCTCCTGTAAAGGATACAGCTTAGGGAATATTATGTGACACTTCTCTTCTGTCATAGAAGGTCACTGTGATTTGGAATCATCTCAATCACCCACAACAATACATTTTTCTTGGACTGTACTTATTTCAGTATTAAAGTTCATAGATCTTTTATATTTTCCACGTCTTAGTCTTTTGAACTATATCTTGAAAGAATCTCTTAATCCCAGATTTCAGATTTAGTTGTTTCAATCCTTTTATAAAATTTTATTTTCAATTAGAATATTATACCTTGAAAGATTGATAATTATTATATTCCATTATACTCTTTAATACCTTAAAACATTCTTTTGCTTAAGGTAACTTATATTTGATTATTGTCGGGAAAGGGTAAGCAACACCTTGGCTAAGGAGAAGTGGAGCTTTGTTTTACTGAATAGGACCTTTCATCACTTGTAAATCTCTTTAGAGCACTTTCTTGACTATTGATGTACACTGACAAGTTGATCACAACAGTAAATTTTATTATCTCCATCTCAGCACAAGCTCAGTGGAAAATAGGGGTTTATTTGACTGATAACTTTAAGAATTTTCAAAGAATTATTCTAAAAACTGAACTAGTTCTTACTTTTGCTCGTCATAAATTTGGACATATGCATATGTAACTCTCCGTATGGAGATCCTCTACTTGATTCTATTTCACAGTCTTCTGTATATATTTTATATCATGAGTATCTCATGAATTTATTCCATTTGCTTATTTTTATATTGATTTCAAAAATTCTCCTTCTTTGTTCTTTACTTGCTATCTGCCAATTCTGGAGCAATTTTGAACAGATAACAGAAATATATAGGAGAATTCAAGTATTCTTAGAACATCTTATATACTTTTACCCTTACAATAATGATGTAATTTAGCAAGCCTTATCTTACAGAGAAGAGTTCTCAGGTGGCATAAATTGTTTATGACTACCTAATAACTGAAAGGATGCCAGTTTGAATATATTAAGAAGCACCATGGAAGAAAAACCTGGAGATCTGCAACAATAAAAATTACAGCCAAGCAAATTCTGTGGCACTATTCTACTCTGTAACACAGGGGGTTGCCATGAACCAAAACTGACTGATAACACCTTATGTGTGTGTGTGTGTGACTCAGAGAGGTACACAGCAGGGTGCTGAGGCTGAGTTTAAGTAACATCCCAGAAAACAGTCATCATTATTTTGAAGCCAGAGTACTTCAACTATTAAGCTTATATATTTACCACTATATTCATCACATTTTCATTAAAATCAGGGAAACAATAAACGATACACAAAGATAATCTGCATTCTATGATTGTAGGGATTTCAGCAATTCATATTAAATTCATATTAATTTGAATTTTCGTTATTTGGTAAAGAATAGGACAAGTGAGGAAATGCTTATTTTCTTCACATCTTCAGTCATCAGAGTTACCAGTATGTTTCCTCTGAAAAAAATCTTTCTAAGTTATAACAGACTATGCAAAATTAGAACTTTTATTAACTTTAATTCTTATGCAATTTCTATAGCATCAGTAAAGGTAATGATCCACTGACACACACTAGTTTGCATTGTTTAACTAGTGTGGTTAAACAGTTCTCTAGATATAGCTCCCATTATGACTGGTCAGTTCTTATGCCTGGTACTATTAAATAGCTTCAATATTACCAAAAACCAAAACCAAATCCACTGGCAATGAGTCAATTCCAACTCACAGAAATCCCTACTGGGTTTCCACAGCTATAAATCTTTATGGAAATAGATTGCCTCATCATCCTTCCATGGAGTAGCTGTTGTTGTTGTTGTTTTTTGCCGTCCAGTCAGCCCCGACTCATAGCGACCCCTCCTTGGGTTTCCGAGGCAGTATCACTACGGAAGTAGGATTGCCCAACCTTCCTTCTGAGGAGTGGCTGGTGGGTTTGAACCGCCAGCCTTCTGGTTAGCAGTCAAGTGCCTTAGGCACTATGCTACCAGAGCTCCTATGGAGTAGCTAGTGGGTTTGAAACACCAACCTTCTGGTTAGCAGACAAATGCCTTACACACAATGCCATCAGAACTCCTTCAGTATTACCCAAGGAATTAAATAGTATTATCCATCATTTTATAGAGGGGGAGCTGACTTTAGAGAATTTAGGTAACTCATCAAATGTCACACTTTCCATGTTTCTAAAACTGGTCTTTCCTGTACTCCACAATTGTTTTTATAAATTCAAGAATCAGATTCAACCAAATTATCTTTTCTTAACTAGTTTGTAATAATTAAGTTATGAAATAATGCTCAACAACACTATACCAAAAATAAATAACATTTTAAAATTTAAGTGTAATTAGCCACATATGAAAATATGCCACTTTAATTGGAAATATATTATGGATTATTTTCTATATCAAGTAAAAGACAAAAATCTACAAATTTAATATTAAGTAGATTTAGTAGTCATATGATAGTACTTATCTTTTTAGCTTCATGGTATCCCTTAATTAAGCATTTGTTAACACATTTAAACTTGTTACAGGACAGCTAATCAAGAATTTTATGGTTGTCAGTGAGTGAGTGGTTGAATTTCCATATTAAAAAGAATGTAGACAAATACTAATATCATTCTCAAAAGTTAGAACAAGCCCTGTGTTTTCACAATTGACGTATCTACCAAGAGGTAAAATTTTGAGGGAAAGTAACACATATTTATTTTATAATAACACTAACACTCAATTTAAAGAGCACTGTATGTAGGTGACCCAAAACAAAGAAGAAATCAGTGGTAGCCAGAGAGAGAAAGAGGAAGAGCAGAAGAATGGAATAGAAGAGAAGCAGATGCAGCAATAGATAGCATTTGGAAAGAGGCTTAACAGAAATAGAACTGACACTTACCAGGCAGGTGAAAGGAGTAGATGAATCATCAAAGCATGGGTGATGGGAAATAAATTGATGGGAAATTAATAAAAAGCCCACAGGTGGCACCAATGAACACATAAAAGGGAAGTGGTTAGCAAAAGGGAGCTGCATCCATAGATGCCACCTGTAAACAACCTGCAATCAGGGACAGGAAGACAAGTCCAGAGACAACAAGGAAATATCATCTAAAAGTTTCAGACAAAATGCTAATAAGGAAAGTTAAGAGAATAGCGTTAGCAGGTATATAAGGCAAGAATGAGTGTGTCGCTTGATCTGCAAATAGAACAGTGTTACAAGAGGTATAGACTAATAATTTACATAGGGTATTTCCTTCAAATGTTTTAGATGTCAGGCTAATATTTTTCCCCCTGAATTTTATAATAGTGTAACAAAATTATTATAATTGTACTTCATAGTTGAAAAACATTCTTGGGATTTTATTTCCAAGTAGTTATTTTTTTCACACTGATATTTGATAATTATCCTTTTCTTCCATCTTACAATGATGTATTTATAAATTATCCCAAGCCAAATTTGTTACTGCGAATGTAATAGTAATGTAGTGTGAATAAACCAGATGTTGAGTACTTACAAGTATATATATTCATTAAAAAAAAAAAAAGTTGGTTCTTTCTAAGAAGTGAAAACAGCATGTTTCATATATTTCAGTAAATTGACTGCATGCATGAAGCAAAGCAAAAAAAAAAAAAATCATTTACTCAATCTTCTTAGATAAATAATTGGGAAAAACATGGAATAGTGTTAAGAAATGTTTTTCTAGCAAGAAGTAGTATTTGTATCCCAGGAGGAAAGAACAATTAATATAGTGCCAGTAGTTTTTAAAAGATGCTTTAAATTGTTCTTTATCATGTAAAACCACAAATAAATTGAAAGGGACTATTTTAGTTCTCAATACATTATTTTAGCATGAAAGATATACAGTTTAAGAAATTAAAACTATGAAATGTGATCAGATGTGTCTTTTTATGTTTTTCAAATAAAAATTTACTATTTAAACAGCATGATAAATGGAATGTGATTTGCTCTTTTAATTTCTTTCTCCTAAAATTTCTCCCCTTTGAAACTTCAAGGCAGTAATGTAGTTAGAAGTGGATAATATAGTGTATTTCTTGGATTTACCTTTGCTTCAATCTGTTTAGTATCTGGATTCTGAAACAAAAATTTGATTTTGCTCTTGCCATCATCTGAAGAACCTTTAAGCTGAGAAAATTTATACCTCCAAAGAACAGCCTAAAGGGAAAAAAAGAAAGATATGCAAGTCAATGCAATTAACAACTGCATCGAACTAAGAAATAGTTCTCTTTTTAAGGAGTAAAAGTTCATTATGTAGAGTAGTATATTCCAGTATTGGAACAGAAAATTGAACTACATTTGTTAAAGGCTATAATTTACACTTTCTTCCAGTTAAGTAACTATTTCAAAATTATTTCAAAATAAAGCACTCTGTGTATATTTTCTTGTTTTAAAATAAGAACCAATTGCCTTAAAACAGGTGCCTATCCCAGTGAATAAATAAAAAACACTTTTTTCCTTTGTTTTATATAAATAGGAGTTGTGTTGATTCTGTAACTTTCTCTTGAAGCTTTAACTTATAACATGCAACTTTCAAAAGATAACATTAAAATCAAACAAACAACAACAAAAAAAAACTGTTACCAAAATTTTATTACAGCCTTCTAAACCCTTTGGTGCAGTTCTACTGTGGGCCTTATGAGTATAAATCAATTCAATAGTAATATTTTTTTTATCTTTTCAGAAGCAGACTGCTACATCTTTTTTTTTTCAAAAAATCAAGTGGTGGCTTTGAACAGCTTAACTTTTGGCTAGCACAGAATACTTTAACCACTGAGCAACCAGGGTTCTTTAGGTAAAATATAAGCCTGTTAAATAATTTTGACAAAAATTATACCGTGCTCCCATGAGTTTGAAGTAGAATAATCATTTTGTAGAACTTTTTCTATTATTCTATATCTATATTATCTTTGAAAAACAGCCTCTATCTGAAATATGTTCTATAACTGACATTCTCTGGAGCTGAAAGTGATAAATATCTATAAATATTAAAATAGTGTTACAAAAAACTGAAATTGACAGTAAATGGAAATACTCTATTATAGTTCCTTATCTCTTTAATGTTAAAAATCATATTGCCTGAAGGTATATTCAGCACTTTGTTGTTCATTGTATCGTTCATGCCTAAAGTAAAATAGTAAATACATGAATAATTAAATAGAGAAATGGTGTATGTGTGTTCAAACACAACCATACACCACACAGTCTCTTTTTAATTGATCTCAATGCATCATTATGTGATGTAAATAAATAATTTATAAGTCTAAATAATTAAAAATAACTTCTATGGTTTCTAAATAAACCAAGGAAACAAATTCCATATAGTTGAACTTTGCCTAGGACAATCCTATATAAGTCTTGGTCTCTGATGAAATACTACTGAAACAAGGTACTGAGTAAGCATCTAATTTTTTTTCTTTTTAACAAAATGTCTTAGGACAAAAGCATAAATACACATTTTGACACATTCACATTGTCTTATAGAGAAAAAGGTATAGGGCACATTTCATGAAAATTAATCTCAAAAGATCAACATCCCTTAAAACCCAGGTTTCTTAAGTATTTCAAGAGCTTCTGTAAGTAAATTAATCAGTCAGAAAATGTTATATCCCTCACTCAGCAAAACAGTACATATTCTTTGCAAGATATCTCTCTTCCTTTAAGATGATCTCATACTGACATTTAGAATATGGGACAAGTAAAAATTGCAAGTACATTTAAGGGCAAATGAAACATAGTGAAAAAAATATTTATCCTCAACCAATTTCGCATTAACTATTCATAAGCATGAATTTTCCTCATAATGTTTTCAGAATAGTTAATTTAAAGATTATAATCATAAAATATCACCTATGGTCTTTATTTGCAGACAAGTGGTTTCAGTGTTCAAGAATAACAATGATTAACATTCAAACTACAACTGGCAGTCTTAGAATAGTAAATGTTCTGTTGTGTTGTTTACTCTTGTGGTATTTGTGGTTGTGCTGGTTGGTCTTTCAATCTTTTTGCAAGGGGAATAATGAAGTCTTTCACTTTTTAAAATATTTATCAACTAATAATATTTAAGTACAACTTACATAATAAATGTTTCATTTTCATTCGAATTTAAAATTGCTATTTAATATTAATTTTTTTTTTAAATGAAGGATAATTTTCATTCAACACAAAACTTGGATTGTATATTCCATGTTTTAAAACAGTTATTTATTACCCACATTTTACAAGTTGTTATAGAATTTGAACAATAGCATACTAGGTGCCATTGAGTTAGTTCCAATTCATAGTGACCCAGTGTACAACAGAATGAAATTCTTTCTGATCTCGTACCATCCTCACAATTGTTTCTATGTTCAAGTCCATTGTTTCAGCCACTGTGTCAATCCATCTCATTGAGGATATTTCTCTTTTATGCTGGTCCTCTATTTTAGCAAACATTATGTCCTTTTCCAGGGACTAGTCACTCCTGATATAACATATTCAAAGTATATAAGATGGAGTTCTGACAAGATAGAGGAATAGGCAGATAAAGTACACAAACCCTCTGCAACAAAGCAATGGGGAAACAATTGAAACTGATACAGAAGACAATCCTGGAACACGGAGTTTTGAAAGCAAAGATAAAGAAATGGATTTAATACCAACTATTTGAAGCTCTGGTGGCATAGTGCCTAAGGCATTTGACTGCTAACCAGAAGGCTAGAGGTTCAAACCCACCAGCCACTCTTCAGAAGGAAGGTTTGGCAATCTACTTCTGTAGTGATACCACCTTGGAAAGCCAAGGAGGGGTCACTATGAATCAGATCCAACTCAGCAGTGAGTCTGGTCTGGTCTGGTCAATAGAAGAACCAGAATGAAACAGTAAGTAAGGAAACAAATGGAGCTGTGGACTGCCAGCTGTCCTCAGGGCAGAGCCATTTTTAATATTTTCAGATAGCAACCTAAGAATTGGCTCTGCTCACCAAGGCTTCATGGGTAAAGACTGCATCAGTGCCTGATAACCAGAAGGAGAACAGCTCATAAGGGGACATACAGGAGGACTTCTGGACTACCAGTGGCTGTCCTGAGGATGCAGCCATTTTGGATGTATGAAAGTAGCCAGCACAACCATTGCTTGGACTATGACCAGAGAGTGGGCTCCACCTGCCAAGGAAAGCATGGGCAACCACACTGGAGACTGATGACTGGAGAGATGCAATATTCCTCATGTTACTCTTGTGACCCATGCTTTCTTGGTAAACAGAGGTGTGGTCATCCCCCCACCTCCACCAACCTTGTTGACCAATGGGGATTCCATCCCAGTCTGTTCCCTGACAGAACCTGGGTGTTGTGCCCAGCCCGCCACAGTTTTGTTTTTGTTTGTTTGTTTTTAAATTATTCTTTTTACTTTATTCCTTTCTTTTCTTTTCTTTTCTTTTTCTTTTCTCCATCCCTGGTTCTTGTTTCTTTTTTTCTCTTCCCTTTTCCTAGCTCCCATCTTTTTTCTTTCTTTTGATTCTTCCCATCCTTTGTTTTTCCTTTTGCAGTTTTCCTTATTCTTTTCCTCTTGCTCTTTTCTCTCATTCCTCCCTCCCCAGATATTGTGGCTTCCCCCCCTCTTTTTCTTATTATCTTTCTTCTATCTTTTTAAAAATATATTTTGAGAGCTTTTCTTCTTATTTATTGCAATTTTTTTTTGCAATTATGCTTGTTTATGTGTTTTGAATTTTTTTTTCTCTTGTTTTTGTTTTTTTGGTAGTGTTTTGATTTTTTTTTTGCTGAGTGGGAGACAGCAAGTGATCTCACTCAATCCAACCATACCTGTACCTCCCACAGCCACACCCACTGAGTGAAGGCCACCACTTACTTTTGCACCAACTGACTAATGATAGATGGCAACCAATACCAGCTCAACTTACCCTCAACTTGTCTTTATGAATAGCTGACACAGAACTGTGCACACATGCTCATTCTCTATCATGGTCATCAGGAAACAGATGGTGAGTGCATAACTGCTAACAACTAGTGAATAGAAGAGCACAGTACCCTGCTCACACAGATATATCAAAACAAAATAAAGGGAATAAAATTTTGCATGAATCACAACAGCATATAGCCACATCACAACACCACCATCCACCCACTGCCATCAAGTCAGGTCTGACTCATAGTGACCCCTTCTTGGGTTTCTGAGGCAATATCACTACAGAAGTAGCTTGTCCAACCTTCCTTATGGGAAGTGGCTGGTGGATTTAAACCACCAGCCTTCTGGTTAGCAATCAGATGCCTTAGGCACTAGGCCACCAGAGCTCCTAAACATAAATACAATAGTACCACAAGGCCTCAGAGATAACAGATCATCACCATCTACACAAAAAATCAAGATAAAGTAGTAGAAACAAGGGACCAAGACACAAACCAGAAAACTTCTCTGAGGGAGGAACAGCATTGGAACTCCCTGATAACGAATTCAGAAGAAATACATTTGGATACCTTCAATAGACTGTGAGACAGAGCAAGGAAAACACTGGCATGATCAAAGAAAACACAAACAAAAACTCTAGAACTATTTAGGAAAACAAAACAAGAAAAAATAATAAAATAAACAAAAAACTAGAAATGATACAAAAACATCAAACAGAAATCCAGAAGATTAATACTGAGATTTCAGAAATAGATAACATGTTAAATGGGAAAAGAAGTAGAATCAAATCAATGGAAGATGGAATTAGTGAGAATGGAGACAAATACCTCAATACTATTTTGTTAAGGGATCAATCAGACAAAAGATCAAAACTTAAGAAACCCTAAGATTCATGTGGGATACCATCAAAATGAATAACCTACATGTAATCAGAATCCCAGAACAGAAAGAGACAGATAAAACCACAGAGAAAATTTTTGAAGATCTGTTGGAAGATAATTCCTCTAATATGATAAAAGTCAAGAATATATCCATTCAAGAAGTTCAATGAAGCCCAAACAGAATAGACTCCAAAAGAAAAACACCAAATAACTATCATCATAAAACTCACCAAAACCAAAAAAGTCCAGGAAAAAAATAAATGCCAGAAAACATCATGGGAAAAACTAAAAATTCCCTACAAAGGGCAACCAATAAGACCAAGTTCTGATTTCTCAGGAGAAACCATGTAGGCGAGAAGGCTATGGGAAGATATATA